AGATGGGGTTTCTCCATGTTGGTCAGGTTGGTCTCAAGCTCCTGACCTCATGATTCACCTGCCTCGACCTCCCAAAGTGCTGGGATTACAGGCGTGAGTCAATGCTCCTGGCAGACTCTGAGTCCTTTCTTAGTTGCCTTCTTGGTCTTTGCTCAGTGTTTCTTCTCCTTTATCCCTTTCTTTATAGGACATTTGCCTACTGAACACTGCCTCAGTGTCTCCACTTCCCCGGGATCAAATGAACCAGGCTTAGTTTACTGCACACTAAGGGACAGGGAGGAGCGTGACCTTATATCCCTTAATTGGGCTGAAGTGCTCTGTGTCTCCTTTCCTAAAACTTTCCACTGCTGTCTTCCACTCAGCTCCCAGCCTCTCCCTCCTTTGACCTGCTCACTGTTTCACTAACCTCTGAACCCCTTATCTGATGATTTCACTTCATCATCCAGAGTGAGCTCAGAGGGATTCTTCACAATGTCTTCTGTCACCTTGATGACTCCAGAAGTTGTTACATATTTCATGACCCTTTCCATTTCCTTTAGAGCCAGTGAAAATTTTCCATCCAGGGCCACTTTCTGTGGCAAGTGACCTCTCTTAGGTCATCAGAATTTATTATTAGATAAGGTCCTGTTCAACAATCTGCCTATCAAAGGTCAAGAGAAAAAGACTGAGTTTCCCCTCTTAAGGATGCCTGCCTCACTCCTGGATGTCCCCAAGTAGCATATTGACCATCTTGGGGCAAAGTCTAGGTGAGAACAGATCAGAAAGTTCCTTCTGTCATTCTCAAGAGGGAGTAGAGGCTGAGATTCTGATTCAACACTTCTGAGTTTCATTCATTGTCTTAGTGCAAGTCATAGCCTGTGGTAAAGGGTTTTTATAAATAATTTATTATAGAAGCATCTGTATGTATTACTTTATCAAACATTTACTGATTTATCACTTACTTACTTAGTGCCTACTCTGTGCCAGACAGATAGACTGCTGTGCAGAGAAAGTCAAGGGCATTACGATCACTTCCCTTGAGGAACCCTCAGGACAGTGTAAAGAAAATGCTAGTTAGTTATTAGGTGGGTGAGAAAGTAATTGTGGTTTTTGCCATTCAAAGGTAGTGGCAAGCCTGGGCACAGTGGCTCACGCCTGTAATCCTAGCACTTTGGGAGACTGAGGTGGGCAGATCACGAGGTCAGTAGCTCAAGACCAACCTGGCCAACATGGTGAAACCCCATCTCTACTAAAAATACAAAAATTAGCTGGATGTGGTGGCGTGCACCTGTAGTTTCAGCTACTCAGGAGGCTGAGGCAGGAGAATCGCTTGAACCCAGCAGGAGGAGCTTGCACTGAGCTGAGATGGTGCCACTGCGTTCCAGCCTGGCAGCAGCGCGAAACTTTGTCTCAAAAAAAAAAAAAACACACAAAAGTAATGGCAAAAACCGCAATGAGTTTTGCACCAACCTAATAGTAATACATCAGTCTGAAAAATTTGGCAAGAGAAATAAGCAGAGATGTACCTGAACCTGGGGTAGAAATGAGCTGGGAAATTTAGATTGTGAAGAGAAGCAGCAGTTAAGTTTTGAAGGAAGAGAAGAAGCTAAAGAAATAAACAAACTGGTGTACTACAGGCAGGGGTTGGGGGTGGGGGGAACGTCTGTGTGCAGGGGGGAAATGTAAAAT